CAGCAAGTGTCACATATTTACATTACTGGGGAGTGGGGAAAGAGTAACTAGTGTAGCCAAAGGGAAAAAGGAGAGAGACTTGAAGAACATACTAGGACCTTGAATCTTTTGAGAAAAACTAAAAGATGGAAAAAAAACCTCAAACACAATAATAACCTTTTGTTTCCTGGATTACACAAGTCTTGCCAAAGCATATGCTTGGAAAAAATATGCACAGGACTTTCCATGGCCACACTTGCAGGAAGTCATCTGCTGAAAGTGATACAGTTCTACTGCATAATGTAGCTTCCTATATAATTTAATATCCTTTGTGCCAGCATACTTGAAGGAAGTTTTGGGGAATGTTTTTGTCTCCATTAAAAAATGATCATGTGAAATATAATGCTTTTAGGATTGATCATGGTCTTCTGCTGAACCTGCCTGCTAGTATGACAGCTTAAAATTAACTTTCCACACATAGAAGTAAAAAGCTGTTGCTGAAAGTTAATGAAAAACAAAGGAAAATGGGGTTGGACGATAGAGCTTGATAGCATTTGGCCTCGATAGCTTTGTGTTCTGGAAGATTTCTGCAGGAAATTTAATTGGGACCTTTTAAATGCTTAAAATTAGCTACACACTTAAATACTTGCTGAATTGCTGCCTCACCCTAGAGAGAAAACAACTCACTGTAATCTCATTGGTATCAGATTTCCACTCCCAGCCTCCCTGAAAAATCAATGTATAGAATGAAAATCAATCCTTACTCAAACTGTGACTAAAAAGGCTTTCATTTTTGAAGAAAGGTTGCTTCTAAGATAAAATCCAACTACACCATGAGGCAGACTAAGTATAATCCTGCATTACATCTCTATGTTTGATTGCTTACCTTGGTTTGTGTTGTCTGCTTCTGCTTGTGTTACTACATAATTTTTGTACAGAGTTCTGTACATTTTTTCTCCTAACATGTACTATTGTGTCCATTTACTATAATTAATAATAGTGGCAACAACAGTTTTCAGATTGTTTTTAAAGGATAATGAATTCTTGTTTACGGTTTACAAATGGAGAAATGGAGGTACAGAGAGCTGAAAGCTGTGTGAAGGGAGACAGAAGTAGGCACCCTGAGATCAAGTTTAGTCTATGAAGCGCTCTGTCTTTAGAAATACCAGAAATCACTACAAGGGGTCATTAACTTTGTTTTGTTATATATTTTACCAAGGAAATACACTGCCTTGTGTTAAAGAGTCTATGTCTCTGTCATCATACCAACACCTTGATTTTGCATGCGGAGTCTTTTATTTCTTCTTATCAAGGTCAGTTATTCTGCAGAGCACACCATGGAGGTGGAGATACCATTAGGGGCTGAATCATTTCAGCAGCTGTGCTCAGTTCATGTATCTGTGGGAAAACACAAAAATCTATGTAGGGTACATTTTCTAACTGTCCCTCCAAAATAAATCTCAAGTGTGGCCATAAAAGTTGAAGCTTGTTTCTCTTCTACAAATCATGTCTTTTGCCTGTGGGCTGGCAATTTCAAGAGAACAAGAGTCTAAGTTCGGGTAGAAAACTCCATGAAGTAAAAAGAAAAAAGAGAAATGGGTGAAGATTGGATGCCTGGTGCAATGGCGAGGAAAGAATTTAGAATCATCCCAGAGTGTAAAGACCTGCAAAACAGGAAGGATTTTTGAGAAGTACCTTCTGGAGAGGAAGGATGTATTTAAGGGACACAACCTTACAGTTCTTGTAAACACTTTTCTAATAAGACATTTTTCTCTATTAATGTTGCTACTTGGCTGCCTCAGTGACCAAGAGCAAGAGTCCAGGACAGTTAGTGTAAACCAGATTAGAGACCCTCCTCATCTTTGAAATGGAAACCAGATGAAAGATTTTAATGTCTTAGTCATGGACTAGCTTTCTCCACAAATATTTAAAATATTAGATTAAATATCTCTAAGGGAAATTTAATAATGAATATGGTGCACAGTATTGAAGAAAAATGACATTAAGTATTTCTTGTTACTAAAATCGCTTTGCATAATAAGGGGATTATATTGAAAATGCAGTTCCAGTATTAATAGGATATGAGGTATTATGAAATCGAGTAATTTTGCATAAAACCAGCATATAATTTTAAACTGCCATTCAGTTACAACGATTTGACACCTGCCTGAGGACTGTGGGGTTAATGAGTCAAATTATGAATTCCTCCTGAGGAATCATCATGCTGAAGGGAGTCACCAAACATTACCCATCTAACTAGCGCACCTCTGGCCAACAAACATAACAATAACAGTTTCTGCTACATGGTGGCTTTATCACTGGGAGGGCAAAGGAGATTCATATGTCTGTTGACTTTATGGGGAAAGGTGATGGAAAGGTGGAATTGTTATAAATCTCTCAGCCAGTGCCCTGTATTAGTGCCATCCCCCAGGCAATACTCCTCAGTTGTGTCTGGTGCCAGTCTCTGAGTGAAACAAAATTACTGAAAAAAAATTTTCAACTCCATAGCATTTAAGTAAAAGAAAAACAAAGAAGTGCTCTTCCCTGGGAACTAATTTTAGGCTTTGGGTTAAAATACTCCACTGTTGAACTTAAGTGCTTTCACTTAACCAAGATCAACCACTAAGCCTTAGACAAGTGACAAATTAGATCTTCTTGTACTCTGCCTCAGCCCATCACAGTGACATGAGCTGGCTCTTCCCACAACCCACACTGCAATTTCTAAACTGTAAACTAAGACAAGGAGTCCTCAAAAGGCTGCCTTTCCCCATCAATCTATAGGTCTGCGTGGGCAAGGCAAGGGTGTGAAGCTGATCAGAAGATTTTTAACAGTAGGGGTGGTGGAAATTTGAAATTCCAACTATTGTTTCCCATTCTTAGCTTCAATGAAATGTCTTCATGGAAAAAGCTTGACATATGAAGGCAACCATATCTTATAGCTTTCCCTAATTGAGCCTCCTGCAAGATTAGCAGGCTTGCTGAGGCAGTCCTGTGCTCCCTCTGCCTATACCCAGCAGCTGGCATTGGGCAGAAGACGGGGACTGTGGAGGGACCTGTTTTTTGTACTGGGGCTATCACGACACACTTCAGTTAAGTGAACAAACTGGAGGGAACCTATTTTTTTTCTGTTGTTCCCTAGTTAAAATGCCTTGTGCATGCTTCCTCAGTCTAAAGAGGCTCATGGCAGCTTCTCTTGCTCTGGTCATCTTCCTCTTATTGTGGTTCACATTTTTCACTACTGAGGTTAGCACTTCAGAACAAAAATTGCCATCTACAGTCAGAAAAGAACAGGAGACGCTTTTCTGTCCATCATGAAACATGGTCACAATCAAGTAAAAACTCGGGAATTCCAGTTTAAAGGTGAAGCTTAGAAAAAAAAAAGCCATTGGAGCTCAAAATCATAACAAACAAACACACAGGAAAAAAGAAAAACAACACTGTAAATGTCTAAAAATTGGTATGTTTAACTGAATGAAGCCTCTGGATTGCTTCTCTGCACTGAGTCATGCCCGGAGCCTAAACCTGTGTAGCTTTTTCAGCAAAGAGGGGACTACAGATATGGTGGTATCTACAGAGTATTGGATCCACCCAGGCCTGATATGACACAGGCCACAAGGGTACAGTGAAAAAAAACAGTCAACATTATTACTTTATTATTTCGTCCCTCATCTTAAAATATATGTATACATTTGTTCACATCTTTTTGCATTGTGAGACAGGAATATTTAAGAGGGATATAGGGGGTTTTATCATCCTCCAAGTTTTCCAGTAAAGTACAATTTGAATACAAACATCTGCATTGTTTGGACTAGTCCTTTTCTACAGATACCAGCTCTCCAGTTGACTTTACAAAGCCAACAATTACATGAGATAAACACTATGCAATTCTTGTTTAGGTAAAATGATTTAAAGCCACATGATCTTTATGCCATTGCCTATTATTAGAGAGGAAGTGCATAGTTTCACGTCTGTTGAATTTGGGCCACCAGTTTTAGGACCCGCAGATCTCATCAGCTCCTCAAAGTGGAATTGACCAAATGTGGAAGATGGAGCAACAGATATGAAGTCTTGCTCTTTCCCAGGAGGTGTTTTCCCTCCTCTTTTGTTTTGCCAGTATTATGTATTTTCTCACCTACCATGGGAGGATAAAATCTGGTTTAATGCAGTTACTTAATACGTTAGCCTTTGTGACACTAAAAATAATGCATTTAAATGTGATATTTGTGGCTATGTGCCCAGCATGCAAAACCCTACTCATCATTTCCTTACACTCAAATTAGACCTAGGGGATTCTCGGTGCAATTATGGTGTTGACTGGATTAGTACAATTGGTTAAAAATGCAAGTCTATTTCATCATCTGCTCCTGAGGCTCATGGGTTATGGTCCCAGTGAAACAGCCTGTGGAAGTAAGAGCAGAATGTGAAAAGCTGGTTCAATTATACCAATGATAAAAGTAACAGGAAGCATTAAATATTGAAAACTCAAAATAGTCCATGGCTGTCATAAAAGCAGTTGAAGCAAACCAATAGACTTGCAAGGAAAGTGAGTAAGATGATGAATCAAATGGGAAATGCAAATATTGCAATGGATAGAACCTCAAAAAATGCAGAGAATTTTGGATGAAAACATTGCAGCACACTTCTCATACAGCAGTTGCCTTTTGTAGCTGAGTATGCATACAAGCAAGAACAAAAGGTATGTATATATTTAAGGTGATGCTGAATGTTCTGTGCATAAAATAGAAGGCTCAACATAGAAAATTAATACTTATAGTAATATTTACAAAATAAAAATAATTCACTGGAAAATATAAAGTTATGACAATCAATATAAAGTTATGACAATCAATATTTCTGAAAAGGTATTATTTTCTGGTACTATACTTTATAGACAATACACTGCATGCAGTGTGCCAATAGATATCTGGTTTTAAAAGCACATGTTTTCAAAGTGAAAATAGAAACCGCTCTACTAGAAATTGGAGTAGGACAGACTAAATGGCTCAACAATAGTCTGCATATTCTGCTTATAAAAGCAAAAGCAATCGATGCAATAGTTTTTAATTGACAAATAAAATGAATTGAATAATTTTTAAGATTCTTCTCACAGATTGTATTAGGAAAGTATTTTCTTGTTCAAACGAGTTGTCCGAAACCTGATAGGTTTGGAAAATAAAAGAATCTAGGCATTTTGGTGAAGAAGGGTTTCTCTAGGTTAAATTAGTCATAACTTGTTCTTGGAAAAACATACAAAGAAAGGATAAGTCAAATTCTTCTGTAATATGCATGTAGACAAGAACTGCATTTGAAGATTAATTATCTCATTATTTTGCTAATATGCTGTAATTAACTGAGCTATAGCAGTGAAATTACTAAATGTGGGATTACTATTGCAGATTTGAATTAGCTTGTATCTCAGAAATGTTCTTCACTACACCTCAGCTTTAGGACATAAACCTAATTAAATTACCACTTTATTTGCTGCAGCTGCTTCATAAATTTGCACTTCAAAATAGTTCCATCATTTACCATGTCATTTCCTGTGTTTTGTAATTATTGGCTGGTAAAAAATTAAACCCAAGAAGTTTAACAATAGCACAGTAGCTTTTCCTTACACTCAAATTGGGCCTAAGGGATTCTGAGTGCAATTATGGTGTTGACTGGATAACTACAATTGGTTTAAAATGCAAGGATATTTCATCAGCTATTCCTGAGGCTCGTGGATGATGCCCAAGAATATGAACCTTTAATTTCATCTAAGTTATTGCTATTATTTCGGGGAAAAAAAAAAGAGAGAGAGAAGGAAAAAAAAAACAACAAAAAAAAGGACCAGAAAGAAGCTTAGCAGTTATACAGGACAGCCAGAGAAACCAGAACAAACTGACTGAAACAACATTGGTGGGATTTTCACCATTACCCTTCAGCTTAATATACATTATATATTTCTTCTAATGTAAAAAATACATTACATTAGGGTTTAGGAAAGTTCATATTTACTTTTCAGGTTTTCGAAATAGAATTTGTTTTTTTTTTATTTACATTGCTTTTTCTAGTATTCTACCGTTATTTGTGCAACTGCTAAAAGAAGAGTTAAAAAACCTACAGAACTCCCTTTACAAAAGCTGGATATAAGAGAACAGATCTTACCAGTACTGAGCCTACTTGAACTTCTTGAACTTTTGCCTTTCACAGAGGGTACCTCTTAAAGGGACATAATACTATGGCACTTTGCCACAGATCACTGCTCCTGTAGTGCAGTCAGGTACAGGCAGCCGTGCTTGTCTGGTATTTTAATACCTGACTGCTTCAAGTCAGATGTCATTCCAGAGCTATTACCATTACTCAGAAATAGCTGGAATGATAGCTGTAGGCAGTCTACCATTTTCAGGAGAGATATTGGTTTCTGGGTAGTCCTGAAATGCGCAAAGCCATGCTATAGTATTTCTTATAGACATGATTTCAATTACAGTACCTAGTTATCAGTCCCCATTGGCATTCTTTATAATCATCTGCTGTATGCAAAGATGCAATATCATTAAAATTACATTATTATTCATGAATACATTTGGAAAATCTCATTGATCATACATCCCTTAGAAAAACTAAAATAACAAATATAAGCAAGGTCATTCATCTTTCTGGGATGTCGCAAATTGGAAGCATTGTGACTAACCATGGTGCTTTGCTTATGAAAACACTTATTTTCATTCTTATATTTTGTGGATCTTGGGCCTTTTGAATGCAGTGGACAGAATGTTGCCTCAAACTACTAAAATAAATTGTGGATTTTCTTTCCCATTCTCCTGAGGCAAAAAACATCATGTCAAAATTGCAGGTGGGGAAGATCTCTTTCCACAGGAAAATTATTAAGGATGTTTCTGTGGAGGGATTGCAAGCTTATAAGCTCTGTAGTATCTTGGTATCATCCAAAGGTCATTCATATGGAGCAGAATACATATATTTGTAACAAGTAAGACAGTGAAACTAAGTGACATTTCACAGCTATGAAATACAAGGACAACCTTAACAAAATATAGGAAAGCATTCATGCATAAAAGGAAAAGAAACACCATATTCTGAGTCTGAAGAGACCTTAATTAAAACCTATGGGAAACGTAGGCAATAAGAATGGACCCTTTTAAATAAATCTGATTTTTTAAAGAAATTGTATTAGACAAAATAATTGTCAAACTTGAATATTCAGTCTAGTCATCAGTGGTTATCAATTGTCATAGCTCCATCTATTTGAGTGCCACTATCCCAACATACATCAGTTGTGACTTTGACCTTTTGGTGTTTGTATACTAGCCTGACAAGTACTCATAAAGATATATGCAATCTCAGAGATAATATTCAGTATCAGATAAAAACATGCTATTGATCAATAGATACAGAAAGTCCTCTGCGCATTTTTATTACCAGCAAACCCAGCCATATTTGTCATACAGGTATGAAAAGCACATGCAGCAAGACTTCTAGTCTTTCAAGGATGAAAGACTTAAATACGTAAATATACTCAGCAAAAAAAAAAAAAGCATTATAAAAACTTTTGTATTTCTTGAATGGCTAAAATAATTCCCTTATAGGAACTGTGAAAGTCCCCTTTTGCAAAAAGTAAAAGGAAGTAGCAGGTATCAGTCAATCTGGCTCAGAAGGATTTCAAAGTACAAATCTCCATCTTGACATTGATTCTGTATCTAAATAAGATAGGACCACAAAAACCCATTTCTGAACATGTCTGTGGTTTTGGAGCAGTCCAGATCCACATCTGTACAGGTATTTCACAATTTAGAGCAGTCTCTTTTAGAATAAATGAAATCCCTTCCAAAACCTAGAGAATAATTTTTAACTTTTTCACCCCTTCCTTCCCCTCCTCCCAGAAAAAGAAAATTAATCCTATTAACAAGAGCTTCAATCTATAGTATTCTGTGATTGCATGCTCTCTTTTCCATGGGCAGGAAATTGGCCTCAGTGACATGGAACACCAAATCTGTTATATTCACTATCCAGAGATCAGAACTGCTTCAGGTTAATTAATTCCTATACCTCTGTAATGGATGTTGCTCTGTTAACACTGTATTCAATAAAAGAGGTGATGAAAGCAATGATGAAGTGTGCTGAAAAAGTGAAAAAGGAATAGCAATAGTTATATACAGTACAGTGTAATATGGTGAATGCAATTTACTCAATATACTTAATGTTGTCCATAAAAAATCTCATCCTGCTCTCACCAGGGAAGCAGGATGTGCTGTATGTGCTATTTATTGAGTCCTGCAGCAGCTTAATGTGACCAAACCAAATTACTTCCCCTGCATATATTTAAAATATGCACAAAAGGTGTCATTTCTGGGTGGACAACTTATATTAAATGCAAAGAAATACAGGAGGCATACTGACAAATATTAGGTTCATATATTCCATAATGTTCAGCGTGTAAGGCTTTCTAATTTTGCCTCCTATATTCAAAATAATATGGGAAGACATCCAACTCCTAATTTATTATTCTTCTTAATTATGCCCTAGATGTGCAATGTGGTAGTTAGTGGTTAGCGGTGAAAAAGTATTTATGCCTAAAAAGCTCCTTCAGAACTGAAGCAAATTTCTCAGTTAGTGTCTTTATCACCCCAAGACTAGGGAAAATGGGAGGGCGAATATAAAATGGATATGTTACAGTGTTACATGTTTTTCTGTTTTTTTCTGTGTTTTAAGTATTTTTGATACTTATTATATGGCAGCTCTCTAAGATGATGAACAGGCAAATTCATTTGTCTTACACGTCTCAAAGGACACAACAGCATGCCAAATCAGCCCATTAAATCTCAGTGGTGCACATGTTGCCTTTTATCTGATGAACCATGTGCTGATGTAAATCAAAACATATAAGTGTGCGTAAGAATGTTGAAAACTTGTTAGATGCTGAAACTACAACAGAAAAAATATTTAGAAAGGCTCAGCAGTCTGCAGTGGCTGACATCCCTGTCCAGACTGTACAGCACACAGCCATGGTCACATCCTGTGGTCCATGGCATCCCTGCCCAGGTCTGAGGAGGGATGGAGAAACATAAAAGCCCTTTTACCTTCTCCCAGGCAAATCCAGACCCACCAGGCCCGTAATTGGGCCCAGTGTAAGGACTTGTGCTCCTGCCAATCCCATGTTGCCATATGTCCCCCTTCCCGAGCTGTCCCGTGTTGCCATCTGTCTCCACGCCAGCCATGTCGCTCAGGGCCATCTGCTTCTGCCTGACCCATCTCACGGGGCCAGCTGTCACACCCCTCCCCAGGCGGGTGCAGCCGCACACCTTTTCTAGACGTACACAAATTCCTACCAGCCATGGATAAATGTCTGCTAAAAGGGACAGAAAGCATGAGCAGCAGCCTAGAAAAATCAGTTTGTTCTGTCTGTGTTTCTTGACTGATGCCTAGTTGAGGTTTCAGCATGAAACCTTTTTTGCAAGTCCTCGGAACTTCTGGCACTGATATTTTATTGAAACTCGAAGATCAGGTGGCAGAATTGGAACTGGGAGGCAGTGGGAGTTGGTTTTGCAATATGTCCATTAGTCTGGTGGCATGTAGGAGCTCTTACAGAAACACAAGGAGTTTGCAAATCTGTTCCTGTACCTTTGTAAAAGCCTGACTTTGAGTCATCAGAGTTACTAAGCCCATCTCAAATACAGTACCATTAAAGTGGCACACAAGGAAATAAACCCATCTATTGCCCAGCTTTTTGAAAAAGTCTGAGTCTATAAAGATGCATTTAACCAAATGAGTGGAAAAAATGGAAACACTTTTGAATTCCTAAGGAAAAAAAAAAAAGCCATTTCCTTGGTCACTGCGGGCACTTAGTTGTATCTTGATGAGGGATGGGGGGAGAATTTTCCATTTTCCAGTTGCATATTCTCACATCCCAGCTCCCTACTGGGACAAAACACAGGCATGCACCAGCTGTCCCTCCTTCTTCCCTCCTACCTTCTCGCAATTTGATTTTCACAGAAAAGAAAACTGGAGGTGTGGACTGGACAGAAGCCATCATTTCTCCCAGCAGGTAAGTCTAGACTTAGCTTGTAATACCTTTCATACAAGTTATCTTCCCTCATTTCCAATCTGTAGCATATTTTTATTTACTTATATTGAAATGAATGTTTTAAAGTGTAACAGTTTGATTTATGCCATGGAGAAATCAGTGTCTTATTGCTGCAAAATATTTAGGAAGGGATTGTTTCAATATTTTGGCTGTTTATCCAGTAAAATATTTTCCCTGAGACAGTGGAGGCTAAAATAAGAGATTTGAAATCCCATATGTATTGTCGTAGATGCTGTAACTTCTGCTGATTTCTGCAGGGCCAGAAAGCCACCCTGTGGTGAATATTTCACTCAGTCTCTCTCCACATACCTAATCCATTTAGGTACTTCTAAAACTAACAACCATATTATCCTGTTACTAAAGATATGAACTGCAATCCGATGCAAATTGGCATGATTGATTCCGCTGGAGAATAGAGTATTATTAGATCAGAGACACAAATAAATCTTTTCCTCAATTATTTTCACTAGGTTCAGGTTAAATATCTATGGTTTAAGTCACAGCTGTATACTTACTCTGGATACCATAGTAGAGGTCTCGGGTGGTTGTCAGATATTTTTTTGGCTTAAAGATGCACAAAGAATCTTAAAATGATTTCACAATGTATAATAAGTAATGATGAGTTGCACTGACAAACTAAAATTCATACTTTAAACATTAGTACCACATGTTGTTAGTCTTAAAAAGAAATTTATTCTTTAGAAGAAAATCTTCTGATTATACTATGTCCACCTCAAAGAGCTAACTTGTTGCTTTCTTTAAAAGATTGCTGATGAATACTGGAATATGTCTCCGTATAAAGTCACAGCCATGATGAATGTGAGATTCCACTCAAAACACTGTCTGACCCCAGAATATATATCATTTATCTAGAGCAAAAAGAATTAGGAATTACCTATGCAACAGGATCATACATTACTAGTTACTTCAGCGGGAGACATTTACAACTGAAATGCTTCAGGTGAAAGCAGGGAATAGTGAAAGAATATCTCACTAGACCAAACACTGTTCCTTAGCCTCTGGTCAAAGTCTGACCTCAGCTGAAGCTGGAGCCATTCTGTTTGGTCATACAGCCCAGACATGACCACATTTCTCCCAGAAGTGGGAATCAGCATCACCAGGTATTTCACGGGCCCTGGTGCAGCAGGTATGCTGAGAATAAAGTGCACATGAAACATGCAGCAAAGCTGGTGTTGTGGTGACCAGTTTATTATTTGCTTTCGCATGAGAAAAGACAACCTCAAAGCCATTGCTTTCAAAGTTTGCTTACTGTGTGCAGGCAGTGCTGCTGTGGGTCAGGATGCAGCGAGTGTGCACTACTTGCCTGCTGTGCTGGCAGCAGATTGCACAGGCATGGAAGATAGAGTTACTCACCAAAGAGTGTGTGGTAGGTTTTGATAACATATGAACAGATGCTATTTAACCCTACCCAATGCTTGTGCAGTTCCAGGGAAGAGTGTGAAAAAGGGAGGAAGAAGGGAAAGAAAATCCCAAAATGTGGCAGAGATATGTTATCAGTCCTTTTGCTATTATGAATATGAACAGGAGGTATCCATTAAGCCCAGTATTTTCGCTGAATAATTAGAACTCTGATAGCCATTAGAAGCAGGTCATATTTAATAGCAGTTGACTGCCTCAAGTCTTTCTCCTACAGTAGATTTAAACGATTCTTTGGAAAGTGAACTTACTTTGTTTCTCCCGCACAAGACTGGGAGAGGGGAAAAGGAAAGGCATTTATTTTTGCAGTACTGGATCCCTTGCCACCCACTCCCCTCTGAATCTCAAGTGCTATCTAAGTCAAAATGAACTTTAATAAATGAGCTGAACTCATTAGCTATGTGAAGCTCATGCTTACAGTCATAATGATTTTAAAATGTGTGGCTGCATCTTGAAGAAGAACAGAGCTTGACATAATTTCAGTTATCAAATACTGGTAATTGACACAGAGACAGGCTGTGCTTTACACTGGGTTATAATTAATCCACTTCAGTGACCTCAAAGGCTACACTTCTGAGAAATCTACCACTTACGTTTTGATTCTTTGTCAACTACTTCAGCAGACATAAATTACAAATGAGGTACTAATGAAGTATTTCATCACCTGTTTACCTTCAGTGATCAGTTCCCTTACCCTAATTTACAGGAGGCACAATTTTTTTGAAGCTACTGTCAGCTGGAGCTGCCTTTTACTCTGAGCAGTTATAAATTAGCACATAGCTGTGCTTACTCTCATCGGCTCTTTGTTCTGGTTTTAAAATACTACAGCATAGGAGGAAGTAAGTTTAAGTTTAGAAACTGGTGGATAAGAAAAGAAATATTTGTATTTTCTTCTGGTATATTCTTTTCCTTAAAGTCTCACTAAATGGAAGGAAATTCCTCCACTGATACAAATACACTAAATCATACTGCAGTGAGTGTGACTGTGTCTATTTACACCAGTATGGCATTTGACTCATGCAGAAATTAAGTCCTGCCTTATTACCAAGCACTTGGAGTGATATTGAAGTACAAGTCAAAGAATCACCTCAGGATGCCGAAGTATTGCCACTGAAATTCTTACTTTATGTCTGTGGTGCTCATATAACTGTCTCTAATTTAAAATAGCAAGGCTCAATTCCCACATTCAGGCTGAAAAAACATGGAGTAATGGATAATTTGAGTGGTGAGTAAGCAACCACTTCACTTTCTGAGGCTGGTAGGTGAGGCACAGCCATACGAACTGCCTTGTCCTTGTCCCGACCTGCTGCTCTGACACTCAGGCTGCTCCTGATCTGCTCCTGCTCCTGCCAGCGGCTTCCTTCAGTCCTTATAGTACCTTCCCATGGGCTTTGTACTCTTGCCCTCTGTGATGGAGGCTTTCTTCTCTCCTAGGCACCAATGCTTTTACCCTCATCAGTTCCTCCAGGCATCCTGATCAGTTGTCTTCAACTTCTTCCTGCTGATGACAGTGGTTCTCCTGCTCTGTTTTGGTGTTCTCTCCCTTTTTGGGGGCTACTGTGGGGTCCACAATAGCTTTCAACCCAATGAAAGCTAAGTATTCTTCCTGGTTTAAATGTGAATGCTCCATATTTTATGCAGTGGCAATACTTCTAAGTCATGAAAAAATAGGAAAAATCTCATGTTTTTCCAGAGACCTAGGAGGAAGAGTGAAGAAATTTAATTATTGAGAAACCTACATGTAAGTTGTGAGTTCTGTTTGATACTGGGCACTTCACATGGAACCTACTAATAGACTCACAGTTGGCTGGCGTTCAGGGCAAACTTACTTTTTAAGTCTGAACCAAACCAGTGAAGGTGCCATGTGACAGATCATCTGGATTATGTTGTATGTTGAGGTGGAACAGGAGGTTTCCTGACAAATGACAGTAGGAATATATTTGTTTATTATTTGGTGAGGTCCTTAATTGGCTCCTTCAGGGAGCGAATTGAAGAAAAGAGACAGAGAAACAGTTTAGGCTCCCTTGTCCTGGAGAGAGAGGCAGCTTGCAAAAGGCAGGGAGAGATAAAGGATCTCGGGCAATGCAGGGGCCTCTAACACTGCCAGACATGAGGCATTGAAATGTACCTAAACATACAATTTTTTCTACGCTTTAAAATTTGCTGTAGTAAATAAATCCACAAGTTACTGCTTAAAGAAAACTGCAATCTTTTTCTCAGTTTACTTCCACTGACAAACATCCTTGAAAAAACAACCTGGAGTACCATGTAACTGGAGCTGAGGAGAAAGAGTGATGAAGGTACCAGGGGGTCCTTGAGCTCAACACCGATGTGGTGTCCCAGGGCACCAAATTGGTCAGGCAGGATTTCCCTGTAGTAAAGCTGTGATGGCTGTTGCCAACCACCTCGTTGTATAAGTTGTAAGGATGCTGGGGAGGGACTCTTCATTAGGGACTGTAGTGATACGATGAGTAACAGGTTAAAACTTAAGCAGGGGAAGTTTAGACTGGATGTAAGGAGGAAGTTTTTTACTGTAAGGGTGGTGAGGCACTGGAATGGGTTGCCCAAGGAAGTTGTGAATTCTCCATCCCTGGCGGTGTTCAAGGCCAGATTGGACAAAGCCTTGGGAGACATGGTTTAGTGTGAGGTGTCCCTGCCCGTGGCAGGGGGTTTGGAACTAGATGATCTTAAGGTCCTTTCCAAACTTAACTGTTCTATGATTCTATGATTCTAAATGTCCCTTCCCCCATGGGCTGTGAGACTATGCTTTACACCTAATGTTGACAGACATGAATAGTGCAGGTATGCAGGTAGGAACAAGGGGTGGACTTTCAGTTGAAAGTAGAGAAGTGTTAAGTTGCAATATCCTTCAAATGCAGAGAGATTTGATGCTATTCTTTGATGCCATGTAGCTTCGGATCTACCTTGAAGGAGGAAAATCAGATTTAGAGAAGCAGTTAGGGTTTTGTGGGCTTCCAGGAGCTTGGACAAGGTTAAACATCACATAAATTGCATATACTTCTGGGAAATCATTGAATCATAATTCTCTCTTTCATTCATTTCTTTGGTAGCAATATGGCCTTGTGCAGTGTTTTAGTCTCCATTTTTTCCCCAGCACTAGACTGACTTAGGTTGTGGAGTCTCCTTCCCTGGAGCACACATTCCTGTGTAACGTTAGACTGACTTTTAAAGGCATACTGTGAACATAGTGTGACTTTTAAAGGCCAACAAGAGATTGTTAATCCAGTTTTACATAGAAGGAGTTTGAGTAGAAGGAAACTGGAAATTAACATTCCCCCACTTCCAAAAGCAAAAGCATGGCAAAACTACATGCAACTAAAGCGATCTGGGTAAATCCAAATTCATCTTTTCCTTGCCCAACTCAAAATATTTGAAAACACAAAAATTCCCTGACGAGGTTTGTATGCTTTTCTTAGGATTCAGACTCAGAAAAGAGCTTGTGTCCATGCTCAATTATACACACATATTCAACTTCTCTGCTGAACTTAAGCCTAAACTTGCTGTCCTTCCAAGCTTTATGATTGGTACACATTTTCATTACAAATCTGATTTAAGTAAATAAAAAAATGCTACAGAAAGCAGAAGACTGTGTGTCTGTTTCTGTTTTAATAATTACATGCACTTAGAGATTATAATTGCATAGTCATTAAATTCCATTCATATAAAATCCTGGCTAGCATATTTTTATGAAGTAATTCTTACTTTCCATAGTCTTTTTCTCACAAAACTGGCAAATGTATATTTATTGCAAGTCAAGAATTATCTGAAAGGTAAATTTCATATTAATGAAACTGATGTGCTTTCTTTTAAAATATCTTTGGTTATTTTATTGCTTACCATAATTTAAGACTTGGCTGTATAACAAGTGTTTTTCTTTGGCAATTGCTAAAATGGTCTGTGTGTGGTCAAGACAGCTGTGTCTGTTGTTACTGAACATAATGCTGACTTAAGTAACCAGTATCCACTTCAAGTAGGATTTTAAACCTTTTTGCTTTCTTTCACTAATACCAGGTTACACAGACAGAGAAAAGGGGGGCCAGTGCTGACCTGTCTCGCTTGTTGTTCTGCAAACTCTGCGGCAGGCAGATAGAGCATGAACAGATTGCAATCTCTGCCTTCAAACCTTCAGCAATGAACAACAGCCGAGCAATTTCAGGATGTTGTGTTTTGGGGTTCATCTCCCCATCTAACAAAATACTAATCCTCAAATGACTTCAATTTCCACTTCCAAAATGTTCTGAAGAAATCTTGTGCTGTCTGGTGCAACGCTTTGGTCTTTGAGCTGCACAGAGGTGGTCTGATCCCTATCTCACTGGGAACTGGGAAACAATGTCACCCTAGTCAACTTATAAGTAGTATATACAATATCTAAACTTGGCATGAGAGGAAAATTGCCCCATGATTACACCACTCAAGGAAGTACTTTTAAAGCTAAGAAGGGAGATGGGGATCAAACAGATATAAAGGGCTTTAGGGCAACTGTGCCAGCTGAGGAATTCATGCCTGAACAACAGCGGGTGGTAGCTGCTGCCTTCCCAGACAGACTGCACCTCTGTCCATGTCATACACCAGCTGCCAGCACACAAGTCCCAGGGAAAACCCCAGGTGGGTGCCGCTGCTGCTGAGCCGCTGCCCAGCCTACCTTTGCAGACCTTGCCCACTTTGGGGGTGATGGGTACTCCATGCTTACCAGGGAAAAGCATGGGCCAGGGGTGGCTTTCACCTCTGCACCCCCTTTTCCTAGAATGACCTCCCTGTTGAGGGGACAAACCAGTCCCTAGGTTGTATATTATGTAATTTATATGTAAATGAGGTGGAGAATATGCACAAACAGGCTGCAGATATGTTGCTCCAGCGGATTCCACAGTGCAGAATCTGGTTTCTATCAGAAGCATACACAGATGGGGTTTCTGCAGACTAAAGAAACCAAGATGTGATTGCTTTTAAAGAATGTACCTACTGATACAATGCTGAGAGAAAACAGGAAAGCACTAAGTATTTGAGTCTTAAAATAACAGTTTTTTTCTGGTCATGAAAGATTTTGAGCTATACCTCCTATTGCACTCAAACATTTAGCTATTATTCAGGGAATATGACTGTTGAGATTTATTCCAACACATTCCAGAACACCCTTGTAAGATGAAATTTAACATCAAGTGAACAACATGTCCTACATAAACCCTTTTTTAAAAGCACATAGCAAAAAAAAAGCAAAAAAAGAAAAATCAAGTGTTGTTTTAAATTAACCCTTCAAGGTCCTGTTGGGCTTAAAAGTTTTAAATATATGTTCAGTTTACTGCAATGTGTTCTTATACAGAAAGAACATGTCCCTATTTCACACGATTGATCCATATACAATAAACACATTTTTAAAGGTGAACTATCCACAGTTTTTAAACGTTCGTGTTACAACTGAATCCATGCAAATATATGTGTGAAGAGTTTAAAAAGTTTTTTTTTTTCTCTAAACAAATAATTTCTTTCTTAAAAGATGCATAAATCAGTTTATTTCTGTTGGATTCACTGGACCTACCACAATTTGCACTAGCTAAAAATCTGGCCCTCATTGTTTAATCCACAGATATACTTTGTCACTGTAGTTTGTGTAAACATGAGGTCAGCTAGTACTTCCAGACCCAAATGAGCTCCTTGATAGTTCAAATTCAAACTCAGTTTTAAAACTGAATTTTTCTGTCATCATTTTTCTTACAACTGACCACAAGTAGACACAGAATGTTGGTGGGTTTTGTGGTAGGTTTTTTCTGGGGATTTTTAAATGTAAGTACCCTGCTCTTCTCCAGACACAAAAATGTAAGTGACCCATTAAAAGTTAACATAGCTGTGTGTACTATTCTTAATAAGCTTTCAAAGAGCATTCTGTAATAGCCCAAATAAATCTAGCATCCAATAGATTCTCACTGAGTCCATCCACATTGTAAACTGTGCATAATGTCTTTTTTTTTTTTTTTTTAACAAATAAGACTATTTTTAAGCTATGGGAATGCAGGCAAGGAAAAGAAATAGGTGAATTTCTGGTTTATTCCATAATTTAAAATCCACACAAGAGATTGGACAGGATATGTCTTCTTTTAATGTGCAAGGGCCATCCCATAAGGAATCTGAAATAAAACAGTTATTCACAAATGTGGTTTCAGACACTCGTGTTTTATACACAGTGTCAGTATTATTAATTTTGTCTTGCATTTCCCTGAATAATTCAAACTACTTTGTAGTCAAAGCAGTCAGAAACATAAACTCGTTTCATTACCGCACAGCTACATGGGAATCAAACACAAAGGATATTTCATGGTGGACAGCCTTGCTGAACACATTAGAGGAAGAGAAAAGTACTTAATCCACTTAAAACTATTGGGAGAATTTCAGTTGGCAAACTGGTCATACTGGAATTTGACCATATGCCACCAACATCTCTATGAAATGCTCTAAAATGCAGTTTCTCAGGAATGAAACAGTTGATTACTGTATTGAGAGGTGAGAGAAGTGTAAAATAATAAATAGTCTAGAAAATAACATGAGGAGAAAACTGAAAGTATTAATGACCATAGTGCCATATACTTTCAAAGTACTTTTTATCTGAGAATGTCAAATGAATTTTTACACATGTAATTCTTTAATGCAGGCAAATATTATGCCAGTGTTACAGAGGAGTAAACTTGTACCACTTGCTTTAGGCAACACAGATGGTTAATGGGAAAGCAGAGAATATGATTAGTAATTCTGAGTTATACTGTGCTGTTTCAATCACAAGACCTTTTTCTCTCTGAGGTGCTTCTTATGCATTGAGGACCACATTTGGAAAGATTTATATGAAAAGTTGGGGCAGAAACCTATCAGGACTTTCCAAAACACTGTGCAGATCCAGGAAGAGTTACT